GAACTTATAAGTCATAGATGTCATTAAGTCATAAGATAGCACAAACTGCCACTTTCTGTGAGAGGATACATCTATTTCTGTGTGAACTTTAGGTATGTGTTAGGTGTGTCATCAGTCTTTAACATGTACAAGCTCTGAAAAAAAGAATATTATTTTCCACATCTCAATAAAAGCTTCATGAATCATGAAATTTAGGGAAACATAAAGGATCTTGAAAGTATGCTTGTCATATTGTTCCTTTATGAATCCAATGGTTCTTCATGAGTTGAGCACATTTCAGTCATATCTCCAAGTACTGTGAAAATAATTCAAACAAATAATGAGCACATGCCAAATTTATGTATCCTATTAATGAAGGAGCAAACAGAATAGCGAAGCTGATTCAATAAGGACATAAGGAAGCAGGATTTATATAACCAGGGCAGGAGGGAATGTTCACCTATGATAGCTAAAGTAGATTTGCTAAATTAAATATAAAAAAGCTAGTTAAAAATCCTAAAACTATAACTCTTGGGATTATCTTTCTACTTTACTTATAATGTGCTTTCTATATGTTAACCTAAACTCACCAGTTGTAAAATATTTGGGCCCTAATCAATTCTTAGGCAAGGCTACAAATTCTGATAAGGTTAGATGGGACTATTTAAAAGAAAATCTCTAGTGTGATATTCCAGGGTCCTACAATTACCTTTTTGTTGTGTTTCTAAATTTTGGATTATATTTTCCTGAAAAACAATTATTTTTAAAAAATTTTGTTAAAATAATCATAGACTCACAGGAAGTTGCAAAAATAGTATGTAGAGTGCTGTGCACCCTTCATCCAGCTTCACAAAGATGACATCTTACATACATAGTACGATATCAAAGTCAGGAAATTGACATTGGCACACTATAATTAACTAGACTATAGACCTTATCCACTTTTCACCATGTTTTACGTGCATTTATTTGTGTGTCTGTATAGTTCTATGCAATTTTATCCCATGTCTCTTTTTGTGTAACCAACACCACAATCAAGATACAGAAATGTTTCAGCATGACAAAGGAATCACCTCATGCTACCTCATTATATTTGCACTCTCCGTCCTTGTCTCTTGGCAACCACTAGTGTGGTCTCCATCTCTATAATTTTGTCAAAAGTTTATCATGAAAGAAACACGTTTCTACTGCTGACAGTGACAGAAATACAGAAAAATTAAAGGAATGAAAAACACTTGGCATTACTAACAGGCCATGACTACTGTCAATTCCAATGAAGCCTTTTTAAGACTTGGACGTTATAAGATATTTTGAGGATGGCACAAAAGAAACATTCTTCCCTAGGCTTAGGAATCATACACCAAGTCCCAGACTGTTTCTTCATCCTTTTGGGCAGAGTTGCCCACTAAAATGGAACAGTTGATGGGTGCACTCTGAGGGTGGAACCTGCCATTCAAGCATACATTTATGCCTGTGGTAATTCGTTCAATGAAAACTCATCAGCTCTTGTGTTGGAGGTATTCGTCTCGGTATCAGGAAGAGTACATCAGAGAGCAGAATGGCAACAGCTCCTATCATGAAGGGATTTACAGTCTAGCTGCTCAACCACCTCTGGACCATTTCTGAAATGAGAGGCTATGATTGTTTGGATATTCCTAGGGTACATCGGATGATTCCATTCATGGAGATGCTGAGATGGTAGAGCCTTTGGAAACTAAAAGATCTAAATATTCATTTATCTATTCATTCAACTTTATAAAATTATTATTACTTATCAAACATGATGAATTGAAAACAAAGTCTACTTTCTTGGAATTTAGAGTCTATGTGAGAAAAGAGACCGGAAAAAAAATATAGGTCAAAAAATATGTTATTGTAACATATGAGTAAGTGGGGGTAAACCTGATTGGAGAAGTCAAGGAAAGCTTTCCAGAGGAGGCACTATCTGAATGAAAGTTGATATTTGAGAAAGACCAGTATGGAGACAGACATAGTGTGGGTCCTGGGTGCAGGCAGATCTAGGGGGTGGTACATTCAAGATGAGAGATTATCCTACAGAAAGGATTAGAGACAAGAAAGAAAAATGTTACCCCAATAATTGAAAGTAACTCAATTCAGTTGAACTACAAGGCGGGGCTGAGAATTTGGGTCACAGAGGCTGAGAAGGGCTGAGAAGGTCTCAGTTAGGAATTTGAACCTGATGTTACAGATGGCATGTGTGACTTTTGAAGGGAGAAGTGTCAGGAGTACACTTATATTTCGGGAAAATAGGTGAAATATGGATCGGAGGGGCCTGGATAGAAGGAAAGGAAAGGGAGAGTGAAGCTGATTGTTCAGAGAGGAAGGTAGAAGCGCGTCTTCTCATGGGACTTACAGGACAAGATGTTTTCAAGGAGGAAGATACCAGTACTTTAAACTACAGGTGAGGGGGCAAATCAAATGATAAGTGAAATGGACCTGTGAAGCTATCAGAAGATCCTTCCTGACATTAACCAGAGAGAGCATCTCAGGAGGGAATGGGAAGGGAAGTCCTTCTGTGGAGATCTGGAGTGAATGGGAGAGCCTGGGGGTAGAACAGCAACCGGCATGGACCGCTGGATCACAACCCTTAACTCCTCCATGGAAAAATCTCAGATGGGAGGAACGAGCACCCCTCTGTGGAAGTAATGTTAAGAAAAAAAGGAAAGGGGACCAAGGGGGGAATCAGGGCAGTGGAGACCTTGTTTAACATGTGGAAAGAACATCGTGGGGCATGGGATTGAGGACCAGGCTTCTTTGTGAGGGCAAGAGTTGGCAAGAGAGCTTTTGAGTTTGGCTCTTTGCTCTCCCCCTTGCTGCCCTGGTTGGGTACTTTCACCACAGAGGCATTAAGAATCAGAACAAAACAAAAAACCCCAGCTCAGGCCTAACTGAATTTGTAGCCTAACAATAGGGCGGCAGGGATCAACAGCACAGCAGGCAGTGTTTGAGTGTTTCTTCCTTCACTTCTCATCCCCCTACACAGAAGAGATGGGATATCAAATGTAGGCACTACATTTACAAGAAAAAAACAATTGTAAAAATCAATCTCTAAAGGAGATAAGGGGAGATGGCAGGTGAGGCCCATAGTCACCTGGATGGGGCAAAGCAACAGAAGAGGGTGGATCCTACTGCACTATAAAACCTGGGCCCTGTTCCTGGGCAAATCCGTCCTCACTACTTAAGTTCACTAGGCATAACACAGGCTAAGTCTTGGACTTCAGTGCCTTCCCTTCGCACCTTTCTAATCTGAATAGCCGATAACCCTGTGGAATGGTCACAGAAGTAATCAGACACCTACAGAAATGCACACACACCACAAAAAGAGAGGCATCAACTCGACATTTTAACAACATGAATCAGAATTAATGAAATAGAACATCGAGATTTAAAATACGTGTAATGTTCCCAAAGATATAAGTAAGAATAATGGTAACGAACGGTTGAATGTGTAGCACTGAAAGAGGCACTGCTTGCTCCCCCATCTCAAATTTTTGTACAAGCATCATCTCAGTGTGGCCTAGATTATTGGCTAGGTTATTTAAAATTGTATCCTCATGTCATTCCTTATTTCCATGCTCTGCTTTATTTTTATTCACAGCATTTACCACCTTCTAACATACGACACAGTTCATCTTTCTGGTCTGTTTTCCAACTCATGGCATATAATCTCCATGAGGTCATTTACCTGTATTCTCAGCACCTAGCACATGGCCTACCTAATAGTTATACTCATTGAACTAGATCAATAAATGAAGACGTATAAGGCATATGGGCATTAAGAATAAAGAATTAACTTATAGATTTATAACCTACAGAAGCAAGGGCAAAATAAAAAGGAAGGAAGGTGGAAAGGGGGAGAAAGAGGAAGGGAAGAAGGAAGGGAGGGAAGAAAGGAAGGATTAAAAAGATATTCATATTCGCTTATACCTAAAATAATAAATAATGTCTATGGAGTGAAGATGCTCTAGGCTGAGCACTCGGAGTAGAATCAAAAAGCACTGAGAGCTTTTTAAAGTGCCTAGTGTTTAGTTGTAGCTGAGTTGTCAGTAAGGGACCACATACATCAATGGCTTGGCTTGAGCAGTGGGATCTGCTTTATCACATGACTATTGATTGGCAGGCTTCTCCACGGGGTTATGTTAGGCAGGATGCCCCCAGAACAAGCAATCCAAGAGAAAGCAAGAGAGAGCAAGCAACACAGGCCACTATCTTTTTATAACCTAGTATCAGAGGTGATATCCCATCTCTTCTGTGTCCTACTTGTTAGAACCCAGTTATATCGATGGGATAAAGATGTCTCTGTTTCTTGGCCCCTGTATTGTTTACTTTCTCACAGCAGGCTACAGTCATTAGCTTAAGCCCGTCTACACCAAAATCAAATTTTTACACATCCAATTGCTTTAAATATAGACCAAATAAACATACGTGTAGCTATTTGGAGCCTGCCTGTTTTTCATACCTCATGAAACCACTCAACATCTAGCCATAGATGAGAAAATCCTTAGGCTCTGATAGACCCCACACTGCTGCTGCCCCTTAGAGCAGTCTGACCTAGAGAATCATGGCTGTGCCGCTAAAAGGCATCTGGGAGACACATATGTCCTTCACTGATTCCCATCCTACCCTCGAGTTCTTTGCCCTCCTCTTCTGGATGTTGGCCCTGCGCCGGTGCTGTCGAAGGTTTACAGCTGTGAGGCACTCGCCCTCTCTGCGTTACTGCCATCTTATGACAGTACTTTTTGCCCTTTTCCTTGATCATCCTAAACTCCTCAAACTCATGACCCCTTCACTCAGGACAGCCCGCACTCAAGGGAGGGGATCACACAAGGGCACAGACACTAGGAGGTAGGGTCTTGGGGGCCGTCTTAGAGGCGGTTCACAGTGATTTGCCTTCTGGCCCCCCAAAGATTCACATCCCTCTCACATGCCAGACACATTTCTTAGGCCTTGTGTTCACCTCTGCACACACAGAAAGGAAATACTCAGGAGCAGAGGGTACATTAAGCCCATGGTTTTTGTCTCACTTCCTTCTGGGACAGGATCACTGTGTAAGACTTAGAGTTGCCGTCCCATATATTACAGTAATAGTCGGCCTCATCCTCAGCCTGGAGCCCCGAGATGAGCAGAAGCCCTGCGTTGGCCGAGGTGTCTTTGGCTCCGGAGAAGCGGTTGGGGACCCCGGAGCCCTGGTGCTTATCGGAGTCTGAGTTGTAGTACAGGAGATACCGGGGAGGGCTCCCTGGCTTCTGCTGGAACCAGTATATGTCTTTACCACTAACACTGAGATCACTGCTCAGGGTGCAGGTGAGTCTGGCTGTTGCTCCGGGAGATGCAGAGAGGGAGGGCGGCTGAGTCGGCACAGGCTGGGAGAGGGAACCTGCAAACACAGACAAACATGATCACTCGCACAAGAGACCAGAGAATATTTCTCAGGATTTTGAGCAAAGGGGCAGTGATGGTGGGGGATGCCCACTGTCCCCGAGGCCTGTACCCACCTGTGCACTGAGAGAGGAGCACGAGGAGGACGGGGGTCCAGGCCATGGTGCACGCAGCCCCTGAGCCCACAGTGGGGCTGGGCTGCCCTAGGCCTCCTTTTCTTCTCCAGCCTCCGCCAGAGGAGGGGCTGTGCATGCAAATGTGTGTCCATCCAGTGACTGCCCAGCCCCTCCCTGAGCCCTGGAGCTCAGCTCACACCAAGACTGAGGAGGATGGAGGTTGGCTTCACCCCATGGGAGAGCCCTGGGAGGAAGCACCTGCGGACACCACACAAAGGTCCCTGCTCAGGGGACTCTGCCAGCCCAGAAAGGACACAGCTGCTGAGTCTCATGAGGGAGCACAGAGAACTGCACCCAGGCCAGGCTCCTTCGAGTGAATGGTCCTCCGTGAGAAGCTGTGCAGGGCTCA